ACATTATATTAATTATTAAGTATTTATTTTAAAAGCCAATCAAGTGCGGTCTGATTGGTCTTTTCACTTATGTGATGAGTAAGAACTCTCGACCATAAGTATTTTTACCAATTTCAAGAGTCTAGGGGAGGGTTACTCTTTTTACGTAGTTTAAAATATTATTTTGACTCATCAAGTCTCTCAATGAAAAAAAAAATCTTAAAAAAAAAAAAAAGTAAAGAAAAACATTAATTAGATTCTCATCATTAGCAATATTTATACTCGCCAATAATGAATCTTTTAGTTTGAAAGAGGTGACCCACAGTGACAACACACCAAACTAGGTACTTTGAATCAGAAAACACTCCATCCCAAGGTCAAGAATAAGAGATTTGATCCCTTTTGATTGCAATTAGTCACTGTCTAATAATCTCACTACTCTTTATCAAATAACATAAATTCAGATTTAGTCCTTAAATTTTATTTTAATTACTTAGATAATCCCATTTCATCTTTAGATAAATAAATTAAATAATATCTTATAGTTTTTTCATTAATAAAATAGTTTGTTTGGATTTATGTTAGTGAGGAAAAACATAATAGTGTACTTAAAACATCCTTAACGGTAAAAAAAGAATAAGATTTCATCAGACTTAAAACGCTTTTCCCCTTTTAAGTTATTTGAACTTTATTTTTATTTAAAATAAAATTATTTATATTTTAATGATAATAAATTTATATCTTAAACAATAAAAATTATTTATACATAGTAATTATACGAAAATTTAGATAATTTTTTGATAGAGTAAAAAATATATTAAAACATTTTTTATTGTTTAAATTAATAAAATTAATATTTAGGAAATCTAGATGGGCCAATTCAAAAGAGTTAAGGGTCATTTTGAACTTTTACATTAAAAAAATAAAATAAAACAAAATAAAAGAAGATTAAGGTAGTGTATTGCTAGAATTCAAATAACTTAATTACTATCTATATATATTACTACATCCGTTCTCTTGCTTTAAGAAAACTGAAAAAAGTCTAGGATTAAGAAAGTAGTTAAACATAAATTTTTATCATTTTTTTTACTAATAATATCCCTAATCAGCTTTAAATATATAATTAATTGTCAGAAAAACAACTCATTACTAGAGTATTTCAAAGGTGCATTTATTAATCAAAATCTTTGAAGATTACAAGAGTCTCCTCAACTTCAAATTTAGTAGATTTACATCATTTTAAAAAATAAGGCACTATTAAGCAGAAAGTTGTCCTCAGAAATGACGAACTCATTTTCTTCATACGATAAGTCTAAAAAGAAGGGCATTGAGTTTGTTCGCTATAATGAAAATTTTTGTCCATATTAGTAAGGTCCAGTGTGATTTAAAGACAATTTTTGGAGGTATGATAGAACAATACAAATCTGTGAACGTATTATAAAAACTTTTCAAGAAAAAATAGTCATAGTCATGTCCACATGTGTAAAGTTGAGACACTCTTCTGCCATAAAGACTTTTTTTTATTATTAACGTGCAATAATTAAAATGTGCGGCAATATTAGAGTACTTGGCTGATCCAATACTCTTATTCGTCCTCAAATTTGTAAAGTTGAACACATTTCTATTGAACTACTCATAAACGTAGCAATTATTCATGCTTTGAAAACATAAGCTCATTAATTACCCAACCCACATTTTTTTTTGCCACTATTCTTATTAATTAAACCAAAATAAAGGTAGTAACGGTGGTTATTGAAGGGCATTTTAGACTTTTTATTTTTGCATCATTTTTAAAATTTCCATTTAGAGTAAATTTCTCTATATAAAATAAACACCCAAAATGAAAATTTTCTCTAAAATAAGAGAACTGAGGAATTTTAGTATTTTTTTCTTGTACTTAACATAATTTGTTTTAGTTATTTTAGATATAATGATTATTTAATTAATGAAGAACTATTAAAATATTTGTTTCATTTCTAAAAAAAAAAAAGAAATTTTTACCAATAAGTTTTTGATTGGATGGTAAATAAATTTAATTCCCCGTAAGAATGAGAATACAAAATCGATCCCTAGAAATTACACTTTATTGAGAAAGCCAAAAACATTTACGCTCGATTAGAATTATACATTATGATTATATAAAAGAAAAAGATTTTTTTTGAAATAATTTAGACCAATTTATAAGGACTCAACAGTAATTTTCTTCTATCGAATATATTAATGTATGATTGCAAGGTATATATAAATTGGACCATACATTGTTTCTTTCTTTTGATTTTTATTATTTATTATTATGGATACACATTGATATAAGAATGAACACATTTGACAAAAAGTATAACAATATAATTTGGAGATAAAATAAAATAAGCACGACTGAGATAGTTTAATTAGACACTACACACTCCAACCGGTAATGGTGAAGAGTGTCAAATAGGGAAGAGATATGCGTAAAGCCAAAGAAAATAAGTTATAAACAGGATTCATTGTTTCTTGACATTATTGCGAATTTAGCTATGAAAAAAATATAATAGAAATAAAGAATTCATATAACCGATCATAATTAGTTCAACTTACGATAAATTAAATTCATGTATTTTTTATTTTTTGACGAATTGCCCAAGTTTAAGAAAAAAAAAAAACTTTATGATAAAATAATTAAAATTTCTCTAGTTTGATCATAGTTTTGGCTTTTGCCTAATTACTTACTATAGTGAATTTTTGTGATGATGCTATGAACCATTTCTTTTTGCCCCTTTTGTTTTTAGCTTTGTTTGTTTTCTTAATTGAAGGTTGTGGCCTTTTGCTTATATATCTCTAGTTTGTCATAGTTTTGGCTTTTGCCTTAATTACTTACTATAGGTGGAATTTTTGTGAATGATGCTATGAACCATTTTTCTTTTTGCCCCTTTGTTTTTAGCTTTGTTTGTTTTCTTAATGACAGGTTTGGGCTTTTGCTTATATATATCTCATATATATATATAATATATACTATATATTATATTGCTTTGGATGTATAATTTGTCTAAAAGGTCCATTATTGCCCCCTTCATCTCATTCTCTCCATGTCCTTAATTCTTTTTCCATAATTTCAGGATTTGCTGTTCCCAAGTACCTATTTTTTTAATCTCCTTTAATGTAATATTGATAAGATTAGTAATGGTGTAATTGGGTGGGATGATTCCCTTGGACTTTACCTTTATATTTATATTAAACTCTTTCCTTCATATATATATATTGCTTTGTGATGTATAATTGTCTAAAAGGTCAATTATTTGCCCCCTTATCTCATTCTCTCCATGTCCTAATCTTTTTCCATAATTTCAGGATTGCTGTTCCCAAAGTACCTATTTTTTTAATCTCTTTAATGTAATATTATAAGATTAGTAATGGGTGTAATGTGGGTGGGATGATTCCCTTGGACTTACCTTTATATATTATATTAAACTCTTTCCTTCACCTAAAGTACAAGTGCACAAATGTTTGTTAATTCTTACATCCTTATCAAAGTCAAGGGTCAAAAATCCTTGTGGTTAGGCTTTTCTTTTCCCTAAATATTTAAAATTGAAAGATTCATTGTTTTAATCGGGTGCAATTTGAAATTAGAGTATTACTATAATTAAAGTTAAAATTCAAAATACTAGTTAAATTTACAGTACAATTAAAACTGCTCGTAAAATTTGAAATTTTTAATGATTTAGCCCTTATTTTCGTTAATGAGAAAGTAATCATTCTACTCACACACTAACCAATGAAGGATTAAGCAAAAGAGAGGTTAAAAAAAAAAACCTTTAATTTTGATGAGATTTACAATCTAAATAATTTAACAACTATAATAGTTTTGCTATTTTGGTAGCCTGATTATCTTTTTTATATTTCATGAAATTAATTTGACATAAAACTTGCATTTAATGGTTTTAATATAATTTACTAAATATAGGAGGGAAGGTCTAATTAAAATTAAATCTCTTTAATCATAATTAACATGTCTAATAATGTTGTCAATACATAAAATATTTGATACATGAGCAAATAAAAAATTTCCTCAAACACCTAACTTATAAATAGAATTATGTTAAGAAAATAGAGGACTTATTTCAAAAATTCTAGAGTAGAAATGTTTGTCTAAAGGATTTCAAATCGGAGAGGACATGATTTCATTTGGTATCAACTTTTTGGGCTTAAGTAAGCCCGTCTATGATGCGAAGGAGGCCCATCATATCTGTAAGCCTGCCTCAATCCAGAAATGGCAAAATGCGCTAATAGTTTTTTTTTTTTTATTGGAAGGTCCAACGGAACGAAATTGGTGCTCTCTCTAAGTTTCCACTTAGTGAGAAAACCAATAGATTACATCTAATTAGCTAATATAATTGTATTTGGATTTAATTGAATTAAGATAATATATAAAAGAAAAAAAAAGAGAGAAAAAAAATAAGGAAAAGGACAAATACAAAAGCTGAATATAAATAAGAAAAATAGAAAGTGTCTAGTAGATCAAAATGTATTATCTTTTTTTTTTTTTTTTTGAATATCAAAATGTACTTTATCATGATGAATTGAAAATAGCTTTAACTTATTTAAAGTAATAAATATTTAAATGCGAATATCCATAAATTTTTTTTATGGATTAAAATACAAAAAATGAAACGCGTAAAAATGATTAGTTTCAATACAAAAATGTGAAATTTTTTATTTGTAGCTTTAGATAATATATCATTTACTTGTCGATTTTATCATGTCCATTAACAAATAGTATTTGAAATTTAACGAATTTTTATGCAATTTATTAAAAAATATATAAAAATCTTTAATGATCACAAAAGAAATAGAAATAATAGCGAATATCCATACGAGTCCACATCTGTCGTTTCTGCTATGCTTAAAAAAAGGGCTGTTGCAATGAAAACTCGTAACTAATTCTCTCTTTTTGCTTCTCTTGGGGAGAGAAGGAAGCACAAAAATTCCAGTTTGACATGGAACTAATAGGTTGGAAATAAAAAGAGATAAACAAAAAGAGATAATTAAATATTAAAGAAAATTTCTTCATTTATTTTCTTTCATGTTGTTTGGATTGGAGGAAAATAAAGGGAGCATTGCTCCCCAATTTCCCTTCTCTTTCTGATTAAGGAAATCCTCTTATCCCTCATTTTCTCCTTCCCCTCGTTTTACCTCTTCCCAAATGAAGGCGTAGCGAAATGTCAGTACCGTGGACACCATTTCCCTTGCAATAAGTTTGGGATAGTTTACATGTTTCTCATTTTTATGTACCAAAAACAAATAAAAGGTAAGATTGAGAGCTGCAATTCAACAATATGACATGCCCCCATCATTTCCAAGTTTCTAACTATCTTTTGTAAAATCTAAAAACAGATAGAAAAATAAAAAATAAAAAAAAAGACGAGGAGAGTGAGAAAATTTACAAGCTAACTATAAACAGAATGATGATATCACCTCTCGAAACATCTCGTCACTGATGAGACAAGGGAAGACATGAGAAACTTCATCCCAGCAGACCCACCAGGGAAGTAGGAAATGGCATAATAAGCAAGTGCCAGAACCTACAGATTCCGTACAAACATTGATTTAGCCCCTTCTCTTAAGATAAAAGGTCAATTCAATTACCATTGCTTCTGGAATTAAAAAGTAATAGTAAGAGAGAAATTTTATGTTATATGGAGTTAAGTACATGGGCAACCAGTCGCACATTTTTGTTACCCCTTGTTTGGTATAAATGAAATTTTAAGTAACAGAATTTAATTTAGAAATGCATAATTTATGCTCTTTTCGTTTGGTAGACTTCATGGTATAAATGAATGCTAATAAAATTCATTTATTCATTTCTGAATGAATTTTCATATTTGGTATGATTAATTTAAAACACATAATGTGAATTGAATTCCACGTAATCATGTACGAAACAAATTAATAATTAAAAATTCATTTACTTTTGTTTCCTAAAATATTCTTGAAATAGTAATTTCGCAAAAATAAATAATAAATACCAATTATTTTTATGTTATACTATACAAATTTTTTTATATTTTTATTAAAATAAATATATGAAATAAAAATAATATTAATAAAATTGTTGCATTTAATTTAGTGATAAATGGCTTGCATCTCTCTCATCGATAGTAAAAAAATGCTAAAAAATATTAAAATAAAAGATGAAAAAATATTAAAATAAAAACACAATAATAAGAAATAAATTTTTTAAATGATTTTGGTCAAGTTTGATAAAATAAATAATTTAAATAAGTAAAAAATTGAAAAATTGACTTTGTTGATTGAAAATAGTAGTTTTGTCATAAAAAGTTGGATTGCTTAGTTTTGTGAAATTTATTTGGAAATTCCATCTATTTTTGTGAAATTTAATGTAGTCATGACCAATTTCATATAATTGAATTCCTAGAATTGAAATCTACATTTTTTTTATTCCAAACACGAAAATAATTTTCTAAATGAATTCCATAATGTTTCGTGGAATTCATTTGTTCCAAATATAGTTTATTTTATATTGAAATTCATAACATTGAATTTATAGGAATAAATAGAAGGTTTTAATTTATAGAAACATGAAAACTCAGAATTTGAAATGAATTTCGCAAAGTTTTATGAAATTCATTTATACAGGGCCTGAGATCAATTTCATAACTGTGAGACAGACAATGCAGAAACCACAACGGGAACACCATCTCAAGCCAAATCCAAGAAAATTGAAAAAAAAATGTACGTATATGTGTGTGTGTGTGTGAGAGAGAGAGAGAGAGAGCAAAGATCTACATAAGGCAAGCATAAAGTTTAATACCTGTATTACAGAGAAGAACACAGAAAGAATGTAGCTGTGGAGCACCATGGAGACATATATAGTACCCACCATACTGCCTAAGAATCCCAACGTAAAAGGAAGTCTCTGGATAAATATTGAAGAGAAAAATGGAAAGAAATAAAAGCATTAGACATAGCCAGTTCAAATTTATCAGCTGAGACAAGAGACCATGTAAATATCAAAGAGAAAAGTGTATCCAACTTCCCACAAATACCTCTTTTGATGTCATGTGAGCAAATTGATTCTTGGGACCCTTGAGTGCCACAAATGATGCAATGATAAAGCCACAGCCAAGCGTAAAACAGATTGCAAATTTCTGGGGCATCAGTACTATGACTGGCAGGAACATGGCAAATGCAATGAAAACAAAGAACACTCCAGTTGCCAGAAATAGACCAAAGTACATAAGTGACTTTCCTGAAGGAATGTTGCTTGTGGCAGACTGTAAATTCCCGGGTATATCTCTCACTCCTTTAGACACCCTGAACAAGCCACAAAGAATGAAGACGGAATTAGAGCATCAATACCCTGTGGGCTTCTTCACCTCATTTGAGACATGCTTTATTGCCATTATTTAATTCAATATAAAATTAGAAATAAAACAAGATGAATGTTTTCAATAATACATTGTATTATCAGATTATAAATGATTATTCCACATCACAAGAAGAATAATTCACCCAATAATGCTCATTACTCAAGCATGACTGACTTCACAACTTAGGATGCCAGTTCAAGAAGCTGGAGAAACTAAAAGATATGATACTGATCAGCTCACTCACAGATGGAAATATTAACATGCACTTAAGGGGCTGAGTGAGCACCAATGAGAACTTGTTGAGCATATTACAGAATTCAAAAACCCTGCATAAGCAAAACATGCTTGTTACCTATGCCAACTAAGATACAATCATGATATATTTTGCTTCCCACCCAGAACTTCATTAAAGACATCATTGAAGTTCTTGAGGTAAAAACTTCTATTTATTATTTGGGAAAAAGGCTCAATTTGCCTCTTGAACTTGGTATCAATATACAATTTGCCCAAAATTCAACTTTTTGCATAATTTACCCATTGAACTTGCACCAAAAGAACAAAAAGATATATATATCATAATTTACCCCATTTGAACTTGCCCAAAGAAACAAAAAGAGTACGTATATACGTATATATATATATATATATATGATAGGCAATTTTTAACAAAAAAAAAATTTCTTTAAATCATATATATAGCAATTTTTAACAAAAAAATAATTTCTTTAAATCAAATATATTTAAAAATATTAAACAAAAAAATAATAAATATTTTTCAAATCAAATATTTTTCTAATTCTATACTTTTTAATAATTATTATTTTGTTTAATTATTTTTTAAATCAAAGACAAGATGCTGCAATTTTTTTATAATTATTGTTATATTTTAAATAATTTTTTCTTTCTTAATCTTAAACTTTTTAAATAATTTTTATTAGTTAAAAATGTTAGAAGTATTTTCCAATAAAATATTTGGCTTTTTGTTCTCTTGGTGCAATTTTAGAGGGTAACTAGTAACAAAAGTTCATTTTTGAATAAATAGTATATTGCTCCCAAGTTCAGAGGGCAAATTGAATTTTATTCCTATTACCTTCTAGACCAACACTGTACCAGCACCACAAAAGTCATCAAATTTAATTTATTCAGCTCCTACCTTAGTATTAGATAGTTGGAGCAGTTTATTGCTCCTTTATAAATATAATACAAGGCTTAAATACCAAAAACTACAAAACTTTCAAACTTATTCAGCAAAAAAATGGATCTAATGATAAAGAAAACCTAATCTTATCACACATTTGCAAATTACCCCAACATTTTAATTCTGCTAATTTTACCCTAATTTAAGAAATTAGTTGCAATTACCTAAGTCAAAACTGAAAGAAAAATAACACTATTTTATTGTCAGTTAGGTCATAAGGTCAAATTGACTACTGAACTTGTACCAGATTATCAATTTTGTGTTTAAATTTTGATTGAAGCTAATTGAAATCATAAACTTCGTAAATTTGGTCAATTGAGTTATTAGTTTGATCAGTGATAATTAACCAAATTTTGCAAAATTAAGCCTAGTTGACTCCAATCGAGATTTAAGGATTAAATTGACAATTTTGGTATTAAGTTCAAATGCTAATTTGACCTTTTGGCAATTCAATTGATAATAAGATACTATTGTTCTTTAAAATTTTGACATGAGATACAGTTCATACTAACTTTTCAAAATTGTGTGAAACTGACAAAATAAGAAGGTTAGGATAAACTTAAAAATGTCTGAAAAGATTTGGGGTTCTATATATCAATAAGCCTAAAAATTAAGAGGTATAGCCAAATCTCTCTTTCTCCATCTCTCTGATATCTTAAGAGGCACTTCAAAATTATTCAAATGTTAGCATTGGGTATTTTCTAGACGAGAGTAAAAGTAAAATAGGAAAGTGCTAACCCCAGTAAATCAAAGAGTATCCCTAAAAACTGTCCCAATAAGTTTGGTAAAAAGAGGGCTGCCAATTGAAATCAGAATCTAGCAATCTGCCGAGTGGCCCTCGAGGCTAGTTAAAACAAATAAAAAACACTGGTGTGGCTTAAAATATTGTCTACAAAGCAAATGAACCAAAATTTATTTTGATATTATTCCTCTTCATTTCCACTACACATATTAAGAGAGAGAAGGCTTAGAGAGAATGACTTAAGTTTTAACCAAAGTGAGAAAAAGTGAACTTAGAACCACATCAATCACTGTAATCATCCATAAACAAAATCTCAGAAAAGTAAAAGGATAAAATGTATCTTTCGGTCAATTCGAAAAACCATAACTGAATGATAAGTATCAAATCTATTATTTAAAAGGCATAAAGAAAAGAAGAAGAAGAAGAAGAAGAAGAAGAAGAAGAAGAAGAATTTTCTACTCATTGCAAGATGTACAAATAAGTGACACTAGGATTTATAGAGAGCACCAACTATTAATTCAAAAGCAAAACTAATAAGCTTTTTATCAGCAAATAGAATTGAGAATAATTATTTTTCAAGGCAAGAATAACCACCTACTAGATTAGAGAAACCAGAGAGAACTCGGAAGCTCAATAGGAGCCAAAAATCAATACATCTATAAACACTTTAGTTTTACCCAACTGGGTAATAGCATTTAGGAATTTCTCATCGATGTATGGTCCATCAGGAGTCAGAGCTTCAAGCAGAAGCTGCCATGAAAACTCTGTCATTCTAAATCTGTGTTACCAAGCAGAACTTCTTTGAGTTGCCTAAGTGGACTTGTCTTGCATTGGTTTTTCATGCACCTTACAGACAACCTAAGAAACTAGCGTCAAAATTCAAGCTGTTGAAAGAAAACTTTCTGGCTATATGCACAATTCCTATGGACCAACAGAATATTTTTTGTATTATTATTTTAAATATGCATCCACTAAAAACTATACAACTTATGCACATAACTGAAATTATCAAGTTTCACCCAATAGACACTTTTAGACGCCAAGGACTTCACTTAACATACAAACAATTACAGGAGAATAATTCTCTAG